AAAAAAAAAAAAAAAAAAACTAACATGCATCAGAATAAGTTTGAACAATTGTATTCCTTCGAACATATTATATATAGCGGAAAATAAAATAATTTCAATTTACACCAAACATTTGCTTTGTATTTAGATAGAAATTCTGTTAGGAATTATACTTCTGGTAAATTCTGCAAACTCTTTTTCTAATTTTGAAATATGAACAATTACGATTTATAATCCACAGCTATTCAATTGTCCAACATCTAATGAAAATTTACACATGGAACAAGAATGAGAGAATTATGGGCTGTTATCTTTGTGTTTCAATTTTGTATTTTGAGTTTTAAATTCATTTTGAGTTTTGTGTTTTAAGTGTTCATTTTGAAATTATTGAAAATGTGTTCTTTTTGGCATTTTGAAAAACTGTTTTGAAAACACTTCAAACGCATTTTGAAAATTTTGATTTGATTATAATTGAAAACATCCAAAACGACAAATTTGTCGTTTTGTGTTTTCTTTGTAAATTTTTAACTTATTTTCAAAAAAACATTTTCGAAAATAGGAAAGATAATGAGTTTTCACTGTTTTGAAAAATCGAAATCAGAAAACGGTTTGAAAATGGTAAAGAGAACAGACCCTCAAGGTTTCTCTTTTCCTGTTCTAACAAGATATTGAATTGTGGTTTGTTCAATTTTTTCTGAAACCTTAATAGCTTATTAATATAAGTTCAAGTGTGTTTAACCCATCTCTTAAAATTAATCTGGTCTAATATTTAATTAATCCAATTAATTAAATTTGGTCAATTATTAATTCGGGCCTATTAACAAGCAACTCAATTAATTAATTGTCCAACATTTGTTAATTAATTAATTAGTGAATCTCATATTGTTGGTTCTCCTTTTGTGTATAATCCATTAGGTTCCCAATCACGATATCTAACGTTGTGAACTATTATTTTGATCTAATCAAAATCAATAAATTAAAGTACCCCATTTTAATTTATCATTAAATTAGATTCGTCGTCCCAAATTGATACATAACAATGTGTCGAACAATATATGTGATGAGAAATGTCACGTGTTATGACAAAATCAAATTTGTTCATTTATTGTGAAACTAAAATTCTTTCGTCAATATAACTTGTTCAATTATGAGATATGAATATGTGTTAATATCAATTATCGATCATATCTTTCATCTCACGATTAAGTCAATATAAGTTGAAAACTCTTTTTCGACTTATGCATACACCTTGACCAATGATTTCGTTATCGACCTAATTGAATGAAATATGGATTATAATATTTTACTATCTAAGAGTGACGAATCATCTATTATCTATTGATTATTCACAACCTTCATATGATTCTTGACATACTCGACGATGCCGTATTCGTGACCCTTGACTGAGTAACATCCAATATCATCAAAATATGTTTGTCGTCATATAAGACACTATGATAACCAAAAGTGGATGACCAATTTCACTACCAAACGTTGAAGATTAACCACTAATACTCAGATAGTGGTCCATGTGGAATCTTCTCAACGGATTTCCAATATTTTGTTCTATAACAAAACGTCCACGTGTTTCCACATTTAAATGTGAGATTAGTTACTTACTTCATAAGTAAGAAATGTCTATGTGATGGTCTATCCGTAATAATAATATTCGTATCTCGTTATTACTTATGACCATAGATGATTTAAGATTCAATCATATGTAATTCGTATATCACAATCACAACTCATTGTAATTAACAAATTGCCAAAAAATTGAATATACGGATTCTATTATTTAATTTATTAGAATATTAATTCAATTAAGAACTTGTTTGGGAGAGATTTTTGAGGGAAGAATTGATTTTAAATAGTGATATGATGGGAAATGTGTAGTTGAAAAAGAAGAAAAAATTATTGATGTGATGAAAAATATTATTTTATTGAAGAATGTGTGGTTCAAAATGAGAATTCATTTACTGTAGAAAAATTTAATTCTTTCCAAACAGGGCCTAAATAATAGATCTACCATAAATAAAATGCATCAATTATATATTAAAAGTACTTGTATTCGTAGTTAATTGGATTTAGAGCATAACATTTACAAATCCTTCCTTAGAATGATTAATGTGATCTTATTTTTTAGGTTATCTATTATCCTTAAGGCAACTGATAACCATTTGATTATTATTCTAGTAAGTTTAATATTTTAGTTAGTCTAGAGTTCTTTGTATGTCAAATAAATAGAATTGACGAGTCTAAAATGTTGTAGCATTATGTAGATAAGATTGGTTGTGTCAAAATAAAGTTTGCAGCTATATATGTACTTACATGGATTGGTTAAGGGCCATCTATTTTCTGCGGGAGCTTACGCTAAAAGATTCATGACGCCTGATTCATGATGCCTTGACCTCCAAAGCAGTTGGATAATTCTAATGCCGGATTATCTGTAAGTGTTATGTCCGAAGTTCAATCGATTTTGGAATTGACATTTTTAATATGATTAATGCATTAAATTTATGATAGATCTATCATTTAATTGAATTACCATCTTGATAAATTAAATTAATGGAGACTGTAGATTCCACTATTGGTAACTTGTTAATCTCAAACCGTTTTGATTGTGAACAAAATAAATTATATATAACTAAATCTTAAATTATCCATGATCATAAGCAATAACGAGATATGACTATCGTTACTACGGATAGACTAGCACGTGTGACATTTCTCACTTATGAAGTGAGTAGCTAATCTCACAAGTTAAAATGTAGTGATATAGAAATTGACGCATGAATGTTTTATTAAGAGAACAGACATTGGAGACCTGTTGGAGAGATAGATAACTATCTGAGCATCAATAGTTAATTTCTTTAACGTTTGGCAGTAGAATTGGTCATTCGACTTAAGATCATCATAGTATCTTATATGAGGACATTCATACTTAATGATGTCGGATGTTAATTTGCTAAGAGTCACTAATATGACATCGTTCGGATATGCCTATAATTATATGAAGATTATGAATGCTCAATAGATGATTCGTCATTTTTAAATAGTAAGAGATTAAGTTGATATTGAAATCCTTGACCAAGGTAAATACGTAAGGCCAAAAGAGTTTCGACTATTGTTGACTAAGAGTGAGATGAAAGACATGATCAATAATCAAGATTTACATGCTTTCATATATCGTAATGGATCATAATAACGAAAGAATTTTAGTTTTACGATAAAAGAACAAGCTTGATTTTATCACACCACGTGGTATTTTTATAACATTTATTGCTATAATACATTGCTAAATGTCAATTTGGGACAATGAATGTAAATTAATTAATTTAGGTGAATTAATGATAAATTAAAAGGAAGTTTTAATTTATATTATTTTATTTAGATCAAAATAATAATTCACATTGTCCGCCATTATGATTGGGAATATAATGGATCACACACAGAAGGGAGAATTAGAAGAATGATATTATGAATTAATTAAGGAAATTCTACATAGATATCCCTACATTATTAATTGCAAAAAAAAAAAAAAAAAAAATTGTCACTTTTTCAAAAGGTGCTAAAAAATGTCATTTTTGGGTGCAAAATATCCAAAATACCCTTGTAAATACCCTTTTGAGTGCATTTAATGTTATTTAATACCATGCTTTGATAGTTGATATGAGTAGAAAATCTTATAAATATATCTACTATACAATGTGTAATAGAATTATTAACCAAAATATAAATAATTAAAATTATTTCATAACATTTTGCTATGCAGACGATAATTTCTCTAAAAAAAAAAAAAATCCCCAAGTTCTTTAGTCTTCTCCATTGTAAACACAAGAAGAAAGTAATTTTGGAGTCATCTTCAAATTTGAGGAATTAGTATTTATGAATTGTTTATTGTTTTTATCTTATAACTTACCAATATGAAATCGTTAAAAACAACATGTTCATGTTTATTTCCAAATTATTATTCATTCATTTGGACTGCTTTCGCAAAATTCTTTGAATGACAATATCCTTCATAAAATCTTATTGGAGAATCCCTATTTAATGAAGCATTTTGTAAATTCTTTGTTATTTGATAATTGAGCATTGATGAACGCGCTTAATACTATAAAAAAATGTATTCCAATTACAGCCATTAAATGATTCCCGTCGGTTGCAAATTGTAGATACCGAAAGTTCAATTGTCGGACTAGATTGTGAAGATCGACAGTTTGTAAATGTCGGGAATGACAAGTTAACTATTGTCTCTCTAATTTGCTACTATTTGGTATTATCTACTTGTACTTGTCACTTTCATGCTATTAAAGTTCGATATATTAATG